GGGGGGGGGGTGCCTTCAAATCAGTGTTGACTCCTGCTGACTGCCTGGAAAGTCCCTACAGTTTTCTTGGCAAGATTTCGGAAATGGTTTGTCCTTGCCTGCTTCCCAGGGCTGAGAGTGAGTGACTGGCCCAAGATCACCCAGCTGGCTTTGTGCCTAAGCAGGACTAGAACTCACTGTCTCCCTGTTTCTAGCCTGATGCCTTAACCACTATACCAAACTGGCTGTAGTTTACCATTACTTGAGGTCAAATTCCTGCTTGATCAGGAAGTCCTCTGGCCTTTGCTCATTATCATTTTAACACACTGAAGCTGTTTGAAGGTAAAATGAAGGCTAGGGAGAAGTTTACACGTATGTTCTGAGTGGTCTGGAAGATGGATGAAGGACATGAACAGCTGATACTTTAGCTGTTGAAAATCAAGTTACTGGTTGATAATCGCATAACCCTTTGCTTATCTCCTTGGAAACAAGGCCCATTGTATTTCCTGAGCCAGGTAAGGAGTATAGAATTGTAGTCTAAGGCTATGTTATTATGCCAAGCAATGACATTGTGCCCTGCTCTTTCAAGGCTCTGAGTTGCACTCCTGTTGAAGTGAATGGATCTGAAGAAAAGGCAGAGAAGGATATTAACAGGTAAAAGCAAAGGTTCCTCAAGATGATATCTCTTAGGGGCAACCTTGCTCCTTTTGAGATAACTGCTGAATTGAACTTGACAAATGACTATGCATGTAGGTAGAAGTGTTCACATTCTTTTTCAGGTTTCTTCAAGCAGCAAGTCTTCAAGATCTTGTCCGGGAAACTACAATGACTTCCTTATGTACAGCAGCAGCAACAGAGGAGCAGTGCAAATCGGTGATGATTGACTTGAATGGGCCACAGCCTTGCTTCCACAGGGCAGGTAAGTTTACCGAAGGAGATGCTTCTAGTATACGGTGCTGCTCCATGAAGTTAGCAACAGGGAATGTTGATTGACTGGTGTTGCTTTAGAACTCTCTACAAAGACAGTTGTTTTTGGAGGTTTTCTGGAAAGCAGACAGTCTTACTCTGTCATCACAGCACCAGTCTAATGTAGCAGATTGATTCCCAGGTTTGGAAGGCTTATCATCATGGACCAATACAATGATTTTGATTAGGTTATTTCATGTAAATTGCTTTGTTATTTGGCTCATTTGAAGAAGCACAGATCAAATTCACAGCTGGTCCTTTGGGAAAACAGTACTTTTCTTTCTTTCCTTCTCTCTCTTGAAAGAAAGAATTTTGAAAGGTCACTGTCTAATTTTTCTTGGTCTTTATGGTACATTTCAGATTCATTGTAACATTATGCAGGCACAACCTAAAGCTACAATTTGGGGTCCCTCAAATCCAAGAATTGCCAGGTAGCATTGGACCTGAAGGAATTGAATGAAATCTGACATCTGTGGAAGCCATCAGCTTGAACAAGGCTGGCATAGAAAGTCATATCCTCAGCTTCTCTTCAAACTCACTGCTAGCCTCCAAAGCAGTCCAAAAGCATTAGTGGCATTTTCTTAAACAATTAAGAAAAATTCTCGTGATCCAAACCAGAAGCTCATTGTTATTGAGTGTTTTATTCTCCCAAGGGTTTCCATGAACCCAGAAGCAGCCTTCCTATGCTGTTGCTCCTTAGATATATATTCTTTACTATCATTTATCATTATTTACTTAATATGAGTATATGTGGTATTTTCCCAAGGATAAGGTTTTTTTTAAAATTATTATTATTATGTGCCATCAAATCATTTTCGACTCCAAGCGACCACATAGATAGATTTTCTCTATGACAATCTATCCCTAACCTGTCTTTCAAGTCTCCCAATGGTGCACTCATCGCCACTATAACTGAGTCCATCCATCTTGCTGCTGGTTGTCCTCTTCTTCTCTTTCCTTCCACTTTCCCAGCATTAGAGCCTTTTCCAGAGAGCTGGGTCTTTGCATAATGTATGAAGATAAGAATGACCAGTTAAATTTTGATCCTTATTTATTTCCCATCACGAGATTGGTGGCCTAAGAGCAGCATCCTACTTGTATGCATTCTTCAAGCCTCAGGAGACCATAATACTCTCTTCCTTTGTCAGTAGGCAAAAACATCTGTATCCTGTAGAAAATTTTTTGCAGGTGACTGTAAAGAAATTCAAAAATATACTGTTTTAACTGAAAATAATAAAGTTTTTCCTTTCCCAACAAATGTCTCAGGAACAAATAAGTTCTGTGAAGACTGGACACAAGCATTTCTGAATGTTTCCGAAGGGGGGAATCCCTTCCTTTTTCGGCAAATACTGGAAAACTTTAAATTGAAGGTAACTATCTGTGTTGGGTAAGAACAATGAAAATTGTAGCCCAAATGCATCTAAAGGGACGCTGGCTTGGAGATGCTGCTATTTGTGATTTTTAGAAATAGTGGAAACCTTTCATGTACTATAACTACATTTGAAAAGCATGTGTTTCACAACCTTCAAATCATAATCTATTTTAAACAAAGAACTGGGGTTTAAATTAATCTCCAGTTGAAGCCAGTGGCAAAGTTTCTGTTGTTTTAATACTGCTGGATTGCTTTATCCTATTTCACTGGCTTGGATCTTCATGCTGAGACACAACAATTGTGGCTCAGGTGTATTTGTTCTAAAACAGTGCAATCTGAGTCCATATTTTCGTCTTCAATTTGGTAAGAATTCTGTGTTACAAAGGGTGGCTTTTACCTTTATGATTTGATACTGGCAGAATGACAACCATGCATTCTAGGAACACAAAGTTAAGCCACTGATACTTTGGCACCTGCAATCCTATGTGCACGTGCCAGGGTGGGAGTCCCTTTGAACATAATGGGCTTCCTTCTGAGAAACATGCATTGGGTGCCTGTTATTGCAGGGGGTGGCGGCTACTGTTTTAGTTTAAAGATGAGTTTTTTCCTACTGAATTTCTCATTTATTGCTCCTAATTCCTGTATATTAATATATTATGCATGCAGGAGGTGTATGTGTTCATATTTGTGTCCAAACAGCCATTGTATGTGTACATCTATTGGCAGTGTACAGCAGCAGACTGTGAAACTGCACTGATAGTCAGGGGGAAGTCATCCAGCCTTCTCTTCTTGCCCAGCAGACCTGGGCGACTACCTTTTGTACTTTATCCTAGTGACACTGTCAGGGAAAGAACTATATGCACCGCATCTGTTCCCATGTATGGTTTCTCAGCCAGTTCAGGGCACCAGTGTACATGTTGGCTGCTCTCTTTCCAGGCCATACAGGACATCAACAACCTGAAGCGGTTCATCCGGCAGGCAGAGATGAGCCATTATGCTTTGTTCAAGTGCTACCTGTTTCTGAAGAACTGTGGTAGTGGAGATGTGCTCTTGAAGATTGTGAAAGTAGAATATGCAGAAATGCAGGAAGCCAGAAATGTCATCAGTGTCCTGGAAGAATTCATGAGAGACCAGCTTGTAGCTTAAATCCTTCTTCTGAACAGAGGGTGACTTGTACAATACCAAACCAGTGTGTATCCATGTAGAATCACAGTGGTTAAGTAGGCAGCAGGTGAGCTATTTTGTTTTAAATCATGTGCACTCACCATGGAGAGCTGCACTCAGTCCCAGCTCCTCACACTACACAAACATGTTGTCAAAAAAGAAAGAAAAAATCCTCTCGCAGCATAAACTGTGAGGTTGAGTTAAATAGGTATTTGTTGGTGTGGGAACAAGCTGAGTATTCAGGGGCTCACTCTCCTTCCTGCTTTCTCTTCTCTGTCTGGCTTGTGAAACCACAGCTTGTTTCCTTATGGTGTCCAGATTGTGGTTTTAAGCTTTCCTTAGAAACCGCAGTCGAAAGTAGGATCAGTCCGTAGTTTGCAGCCCCTGCATGTTAGGCTGCAACTTCCCATAAGGGCCAGCTGCCGTCAACAAAGAACAATGGGTTCGCTCTAGACTTCAGCATAGTGTGGACCCAGGCTCTACTTCCTGGAGACAAAATAAACATAAGTGGTTTTGTTGGCACTAATGGCTTGTGGGGGAGGGGGTGTCAGAGTAGATGCCCAAATGGCTTATTAGAGGATACATGTATGGATCTCGTCTAGCCTAGAGCACCATAGTTGCAAATGTGGATCAGGTGGATGGATTTTCTCCCATTGTGTCTTGCTGACCTATAGACGCAGGTCTCACCCCAGCAACAAGCTACTTACATTTATGTATCTATCCCCTCTCAGTCTATCATGGTGGCTGAACTTGGAGCCCCAAATAAATTACACATTGGTCAAATGACTTATTAATTATTTATATTTGTACTTGTAAAACCTGGCCCCGTTTTGACAAGTTGTGGATATGGGGCTTTGGTTGAGGTACGTTTATATCGACCACTCATGGGGGGGGCGGGGGGAAAGCTGAACAGTACATCCGAAATAAAATCTCTGCACTGTGCATAAAATTGTTAGTGCAAAACTATACTTACATACACAATAGAAAAATATTTTGACATTTCTTACATCATGCTGCTTTGCAAGTACACTATTTGCTTGAATAGCCCTTGATGGGAAAAGCACGTTCTATTCAGCATATGTTTAAGGCAGAATCACTTCATTTGGTGCTATAACAATAAGACATGGAAGAAGATACTAACTGCGTAGGAAAATAAAGAGGGTTCGTACTTTTGCATTTGTTAATCAGTGTATGTTGTGGGGCAGTGAAATCAACACAGTGACTAATGAATATTAAATTTGGTGAAAATTAATGTACTTTTGCTGTATAAATTCAATCTGTAAAATTCCATGAGCTCTGTGATACTGATTTGCATTCTATTTGGAGACTCTTGGAGAACCTCAGAAAGCTTTCTTTAATGCAGGACTATTGATTAATTAGGCTATTAAATGCATTCACCTTCAAGCAAGCTTGGTTTTGTTCTTGTTTCTGTTCATTGCTATACTGAAAGATTGAATGTACTCATCTTCATTACCATATTTCTGCCCTGTTTCTCCCACCTGTTCTGAACACTGGAAAGGTGGTTCCTAACAAGCAGCGGTGGTGTTGGAGTTGAACTCTGGGGTAGGAGTTCACTGAGCAGGGGGGTTGGATGACAAACCCAATTCTGATTTTAAATACAGGGCTCAATTCAGTAGAATGCAGGAGAGGGTTCCCAAGTGCCCTAAGGATTTGGAATACATTTTGAGACAAACTATTCTTTAATAAGGCCATGGTTTGAGATTATTTAATTGGACCACTAGCCCTAAAATGTTTCATTGTAGAAAGTGGTAAAAAATGCAGATGTGAACCATCCCAGGAAACATTGCCTCTAGCCTGGTAATAAAGTCCTATCTGCTGTGAAAAATGTTAGATCTCAGGAGTTGTACAGATGTAGAGACCACATTTGAGTGAAACCATTATATATAGCCAGGAAAGTTCACAAAAGTTGGTGGAGAAGAAAGGAATAAGCAACTGGAAAAAGAGTGCCGAGAGCTTGGATGCTCCCAGACAAGGCAGCTAACACTACCAATTCTTCCTTAAAATATTTTTTTACTGGAAGGGAAATTGGTATTGCTGGTGGAAGAACACAGTTGCAGGAGAATATTACTGGAATGTCGAGTAAACATGGCTATGGTGATTGCATGATAAATGCTTTATACGGGAGCATTCCAAAGGGGGTGGATGGGCGTGAAGAAATCACTACAACTTTCCTCTCTCATCATCTTCAATATCTTTTGAATTAAAAACATCACAGGGATATTAATACAGCTCCAGGATTATGTTAGAATCCCAGTATCAGGAAATGGCACCCAAAGTGCTCTGTCCCCCTCCCTTATGGTATGCAACACCTGTAAATTTTTAGCCAGCATAGCCAATAACTACTGTGGCTAGGAGGACTGTAGTTCAGCACATCTGGAGGGCAGCAGGCAGAGGAAATCTGGTGAAGAAGATGTTAGAAAGCAATCCACAGTAAAACCAGAGCATCTAATAAGCCCAAGATTCAAAAATTCCTGAGTTCTGTTAACACTGGCATAGGCTTGTCCCTTACTTTATTTTGCTCACCTTTGCAAGTTGGTTAATGGGAAAAGATTCATTGTTGCTCTGTAATGCATTCAATAGTGTGTATAATTTTACCAGGAGGCCATAAATGACCACTCTGATTAAATTTAATTTGGCAAATTAGTTTTCCTTAACTGCATTTGCAGGACATTTATGGCATTCCTTTTAATGTTACATAATATGGGATGGTAACTTTTTTTTTTCCATGCATGTTTAAAGTATCACTTTCTTTTCCTTGCACATTGAGAGACTCATGTTGAAAGACTAAATTTGCACCTCTGATTTAGCTATGTATTTGGGGGAGACTGCTGCCAGCAAATCCCCCTTGCCAGATTAGAAAAAGTTGCCCCAATGTTCTTACCTTTGCCCCTTCCTGTCCAGAAACCTGGCATTAAAATAGCAGAGACTTTCTGAGACCACTTCCTGAGATAAGCTGCTTTGCCATTATTTCAGTTAAATGTTACGTTTTAAATATGTTGGAAAGTGATAGCAATTATTTAAGAGTAAGCCTTGAACAGTAAACCCACTGATCAACAACACCTTAATGGAACAGTTCATTAGTTCAGATGAAAAGGAGAATGATTATTGTGAACTGTTCTCTTGTACCTGTGTGGCTTTCCTTTTTAAACAAACTACAGTTGCCAAAGATGTCTGAACTCAAAGACTAAAGTAGTGGTAGGAAACCAGACACTCAAGACTACAGCTCCCCTTGGCTATGCTTTTTGTTCTGTAGCCAGTGAGGCTGAGAATCCAACCACATCTGAAGAGTAAACTCTCCTGCACCGAATTTAAACAGTGGTTAATAATGCAGATCAGAACCAAGACATATTTTGGGATCCTGGTTTGTTCTACAATGAGAGAACCACTGAAATTTCCTGCCTTTGGCCACCTGGTTTGATAAAAACAGCGTGACCATTTCTGATTGGATTATTTTGCTATTAGTTGAGGACACAGCATTTGTTCATGTGGCACAAACCCATTGGTTTCTGACCAGGACCAATTCTAGTCTGTTTCCAATACTAAACTCACATCTAGGACTCACTGGTTATCACATCTGTACTCCAAAAGGGCACCAAATGGTTGTAAGATAATTTATAGAGAAGAAGCAGGCAGCTGTGTAATCTTTTCCTGCCTTCCTTTGGTAAAAAACAGAACAAAACGGAACACTCCCTCCCATTTTCTTCCATTGGTTAAAAGGCAGGCTGAACCAAAATGTTGGAGAACAATATAGAGAGGAATGATTAAGCAGGCCACTCTCTCATCCATACCTTTCCTCTGGCAAATTGCACTCCTAATGGTAAATCAGCTAACAAAAGCTGTTCAAACCTGGCAATATTTTCCCTTTTCTTGTCAAAAGACACCCAGAAGTTTTATTAGTTATTGGAACCACCCTGAATGCTTCTAACTGTGTGGTGTGTGTCCCACAATCTCTTAATATGGAAGTTCTCAAACTCCATGTACAAACGTCTCCCTTCCTGGGACAATATTTTTTAAAAAACGATATGGAAGTTCTACAACAAACTTCATATACAAATGTCTTCCCGCCTAGGACAATTTTTTTTTTAAAGCCCCATGATACCAACTCATTTAATGTTCACTCCTGTTTGGAGAGGTGGCATCAATTTAGAACAAGCTGTGGCCATGAAACATAAATTTGAAAATATTGTGAATGTAGCTCTTTGAAAGATAGCTACATGTCTATACATTACATTGGCCAGGTGATGTCCACACTTAAGCTAAGCAATGTTCCTTTTTCATTATCTTTCCTGTTCCTGTTCAGTTGCTTTTAAAACTGCACTATGATTCTTCATTATGAAAGAAAAGAGCTTATCTGATTTTGCACTTTCTGCTTCTCAGCTGATCATGCAACACTTAACTGAAGATGAAACTACATCCCTGCTGGTATTTTTAACCTCTCTCTGTGATAGCAATATAATGGTTTAAAATATATGTCTGGAAAGCTATAAGAGATTCTGACCAGAGCAGAAAGTTCTGTGAAAATGCTAAGAGTGAGTACAGGATGCAAAAACTACCTATCTCTGTTCTCTCTACAGAATAATTCTGTAAACTAGCCAGGATATTTGGACCTAAGGGAGAAATATTCCACCCACTGAAACAATACTCCAAAATGATTTGATATTAAATGAAAGTTTAACTCCAAAGTCCTTCCATCTTGTGATACTGGAATAGTAGAATATTAAATTTGTCTCAGAATAGATGGATGTGTGGAAGGAAGATTTGTATACTATATTGAGAACCTTTACACTAAGTACCCTCTGGTATGAGAGAAAAAATTGTTGTCCCTGGTCCATGATGGAGTGTCTATTACTGTGGTAAGGGATATATAAATGGTCAGAAAACAGATTTCCTCTCTAATCAATGATTCTATCAATCCAGAGCTGGATTATATTGGAAGTTCCATTTGTTGTCATACTAAGGGCTGATTTCTTATAAAGACAAGGAGGTCAGATTTGACAGGATACTGTACTGTAAGAATAATAACCTTGCAGATCTCCCTGGTATCTATGTATGTAGTATTCTCTCTTTCTCACACACACACACCCACACCATTGCCACCTATTCCCCTTCTATTTTCAGAACTACGTTCAGTATTCTAGGCCATGGATATTACAATAGCTGAATTCTCATATTAAACTAAGCTACAGTGCAGTTCATTAGGTTTTGGCTTTGCTTGATGTACAAACTTGGCCATTGCCTCTTGTAAACCATGAGTTATAGCTTAGTACAGTATATGAACTCAGTCACTCTGACATAAGGAGCACTGCATGACTGAACAATGTGGTGGGGTAGGTTGTCCCATGAGAACAAGATTATTCTGGTAAATTGTATAGACATAACCATTCCAACTTATCCATAAACTATGTAGAAAAGTTTGGTTCTAATACACATGGAAGTTGTACATTGATCCTGTCCCATTAGTAGGGGTGGAGTGGGATGGGGAAATGAATGTATGATGGGGGTAAATAATACTGAAACTTGCTCCACTCAACACTTCTATGAGTTTTCACCCTGCAGAATCAGTTCTAGAATTCCAGCTTAGTTGAAGATAAATTTGGGGTAGGTGGGAGAAAGATTATGAGAAAAGAAGTTGAGGGAATTTGAATTGGGGGAGGGGAGAAATCTGTATGTATTACCCATACATTCCTTTTCTTCTTGAAATGGTCCCTGTTGATGCTCTTTCCATGCAACCAGAGCACGCGCGTCACATTTGCTCCAGTTTTGTAGATCAAAGTAAGGAAAGATAAAGTCAGCTTTGAATTGAGCTCAGTCCCTGGTGACTTCATGCACCCTCCCATATTGTTTCTTGGCAGTCATGCAGAAGTGGTTTGCTACTGCCCTCTTCCAGAGACAGGTGGTGGTGATTTTTAACTGCACAGAGTGTTCTACAGCCTTGATATTTCCTGCCAATGTCCTGTTCAAGTACTAGCCAGCTCTGAGCTTCCATACTTTTTGAGATCTGCCACGATCAGCCACAGGCTACCACACAGCTCGACAGCATGCCATAAATAGGCTGTAAACTGCTATATGTGGAGAGAAGCTAAGCGAATACAAGTAGAGCTGACTTTCAGCCTTACAAATGAACCCATGGAAGTCAGGGAGAGAATGGAAGGAGCCAGGTGATGCTTCCTATTATCTTCCCCGTTTCAAGTTCTCTATCCATTCAGCTGAATGTCTGAACAGGGCATTACAAGTCAGTTTTCAGTTCTTTGTTAAATGACCCCTCAGAATGACATTAGCAAGCAATCCTTTAGGGTTTCTGCAGGACTTTGTTTTCCTTCTGACTCATTAATTTTATTTCTAGTGTTCCCGATGTTTGGTTTAGTTAGAGCAAGGATGTGG